ATACTTACAGGGCGGATACATCCGCATGGCGGCCAAGCACTTCGCGGCCGTGGCGCAGGACCCGACTGCAGACGCCGAGCTGAAGAGCTTGAACAAGGCCATGCTTGCCTCGGCAGACGGAGACTGGAACACTGCGATTGACGAATTGAAGCAACTGGCCGTTGATGATCCGGAGAACTTTGTCGTGAGTCTCACATCCCGCGCGAGATCTCCCTAACGCGCGCCAATAGGCTGTCAACAATATGTCCGTTGCGCTGCTGAGCCAGGGCCGCATCCGCGAGGTATGTTTGTTGTCTCCTGATCCAGACGTGCGACTCGATGAGCTCTGAATGCTGTAGGGAATACGGGTACTTGAAGAGGCCATCGAGGCCTCACCATCTGCTGTGCTGGCGGCTGAGCCTCTTCTTTTCAACCTATGTATGTATCATGTTCTCAGTCTAGTGTAGAGCGTCCTGATAGATTCGTATTTACAGCAACGATGTACGAGCTGCGGTCGGCGGCGGGCGTAGACAAGAAGCGGAACCTGCTGATTGAGGTGTCCAAGTGGGCGGGAGACGGTCTTCGCGTGACGTGCCTGAAGATGCCTACTAACTAGCCAGGCGAGTCGACTGCCTTGACCTCAACATGATCGCCGTCTCGAATTCGTGCAGGGGTACTGTAGACTCTATCGCATCTGTGGCTTCGGTCGAGTGCCAGGCCTGGCAAGGCTCTCGTTTGTCGATTGAATGTGCACTTGATCCGGAAGAGACACAATGATATGGTGCGATGTTCTGCATACCTGAGTTTATTGTCTAGACAACATGTCGCTCTCGTAGACATTGTGTAATGGAAAGCCCGACCCTCGTCGCGCCGCACTCCTGCAGTCGAAGAGACATGTAGGTCAAAGGACCCTCGGAGCTGTGGAACCGAACTGTCTTGGGCCTTTCTGTTAAATTTGATGGCTTGTGAGCTCTTGAGCCTCCAGTGTCTCAGAGGCTACCCTCAAAGTACTGTCGCCGTCGAGTACTTAAATAGTAGGTACCTGTATCGATTCAAGGAGAATACTCAATGTTGTTTCATCACCATCTCCAAGCCACATAGCATTTGCCATCTACTGCGGAATATGTGCACCATCGTCAATTCTATCAGCTGGATATCCTGGGTGCTTGGTGTGAGTGTACACTGGTACAGCAAATATGTGCGAATAATATTTGTGTGTCGGCAAAGGCATGAGGGAGTGTATTGCCAGAAGAAATAGGTTCAGATACGGTAAATACGCGCATTTTGCAATAGTCTAAGAGTACGGCGTTAGAGTAGAGATCGGAGCTTAATAGAATCACTAAATCTCGCGTTGGTGGTTAAGTCTCCGATTCAAATCTCGCCCCCCTGCTCACCTGCCAAATGCGTCGAGTGGCGGTTGAGGATGAGTCTGGTGCACACGCCTCCACTGAGCATCTGTGGGTAAGATCTCGGTGTGCCCGAATTGTGCTACTTGAAATCTCCCATCTCCTTCTCTACCCTACGTCTCCGGCTCAGAACTCGAGAAATCGGCAACTAGGTGCGCTTGCTGAGACGCCATGTCCGCTCGAAGGCTCGGTTCCGGCAAGAGCATCCCAGACGACGCAACGTGGATCGAGTTCCCAAGGTCAGACGGGGACGCGAGCTTGCTGCCCACGAATACCGAGCGCATCGTCGATGCCGAGGGATGCGTCAACTTTATGCGTCCAGTGTTGATTGACGAGGGCGCCGCTGCGACCTGGCGGATCGGGATTGGAGCTCACTTGGCGAAAAGGATGGGTCTTCCTGGTACGGCCTCTGTCGGCTTGCTCTGGTGATCCTTGACCTCCTTACCCTTGTGCAGAAGGACCAAAATACGTCCTGAAGAGCTTCCCCACAGGGTATCATATGTATGACCACAACAAGGGTCCCGCAGCCGCTCCCAGACATGACCTATATCTCTGTGGTGAGCTGCTCTCTGCATCCTTTGCCGGCCTGGACGACATAACCTCCGTGCAGGATCCAGGAACGTCAACAGGTTCCGTTCAATGAATGAATTCATCCCCCACGCCGTGTGGCTGTTTCAAGATGCTAGCTTGAATCGTGCGAACTGCGAGTGCAAGTATTGCTCGAAGAAACCACAGCGTGTTGTCACAGACATCCTTGAACTGCCCACCAAAAATCGCTCCTCGGCGACGCCGAGTAGCACTCCTAATAGAGTTCCGCGCCGGCATCGGGAGGTCCGCACCATAAAACCTCCTCCTTATGCCGCGGTCAGACGTGCCGCAAAACCCTTCAAGCAAGTGACAGAGCCGGGCCCGCAGCAGACTTTGACCCCAGAACGCGATGTTGACATACGCGCAAGTCACACTCAAGGGGAAGCGAGGAGGTGGTTTAGGAAAGGCGAGCTGCTGTGGTGTGTGTTAGACCCTCCCATTATGGGCCCTTCTCCAGAACAGAGTATCCAGTATTGGCCAGGACTAGTCGAAGATGTCTACGTCAAGTCGGAGGGGGTGAAATGTCCAGGCTCCGAAGGAAATAACGGGGACGTCGACCTCTCCAATTTATATGTGCCGGAACCAGAAGCAGAATCTGCTCCCTCCCCTCGCCAATCCCACGAACCCTACGTTCCACCAGCCGGCGCCGAGAACGCGACATTACCGTGGACTGTGCGTCAGTGGAATGTGTATTCGATGAAGCTGCTTGCTGTGACACACGAGTATGTGGTTTCTGATCATCAGCTTCTGCCCTATCTCGCCCAGGTTCCATCCGAGGAGCTTTTGCATGCCATTCAGGACGAGCTATTCCAGTTCCTGCGTACCGTTCCCATTGAGGAAATGGACACCAATCTCACAAAAATTTATCCGTTCAACCCAGTGTCCGCTGGGGATTCCTCAAATCACGAGTTCGTCCGCGAACGGTTCAAGCAAGCCGCCGCACCATATACGCTTGCAGTTCAAATTGCATCACACCTCATGCGCTTCTGGGGGCCTACCGATGATTGGGAGTGTAAGTTTGTGATCCCTCCAAATCTTGCTGGGCCCGCACCAAACGCGCCCGGTTCTGCGTCTGCACCCAGCCTGCATTCGCTTATATCTCATTCCATGTCGAACAATGCCGCTGCGGACAGCACACGTGCAGGTGCTCGGAATACACCGGACGGCGTGCACAAACCAGCGGCAATGTCTGCTGCAGACTTCCAAACGCTCAAGTCGCGGATATTGGGACAACCTGCGCAGTCAGCCGATGGCTCGTTGACGGTCTCGCAGACGCGCTATCAAGGGCTGTGGTGGGGAGCGGAACGCATCTGGACCGACGAGCTCGTGCGCTTGAAGCTAGCGCGGCGTCAGTTTGCGCCTGAAGGCACCGATTCTGTCTTTCCTCCGTCAGGTCCATCTGATGATACAAAACAGCATGCAGAGAAAGTGGAATGTCTTGCCGACGTCAGCGAAAAGGCGATGGGTGCTAGTGAGAAAGGCCTCTTCCTGCAATTAGAGGGGCTGCTGGTGGTTGATGTGGCCAAATCCGACGGCTCGGGCACCAAGAAGGAGTGCCGAGCAAGTGGGACCTTGTACGAACTTGCTGACGAAGAGTGGGCGGAGGGACCAGTACCGTCTGGGGCACGACCAGCGACCACCGCTGGTTCCGAGGGTGGAGACTCCAAGGGAAAGGGAAAGGGGAAGGGGAAGGAAGTCGTGCGCGACAACGTGGATCCCGAGACAGAACGAGCGTCCACTCCTCAACATGCTGTCCGAAGCTCACCTAGTATATCTCAAGCTGGCGCTGGCCCGTCCTTTATGCCAGGACCCTCGCCCCTCAAGGCGCCGCCACTGTCGAACCCCGATCCTTCTGTACCCATGGAAGAGACAGCGGCAGCAGCGATCTCCCAAACTGTTCCGTCTCAACAACATTCTCGGAAAGAGCGCATGGATGACCAACTCTCACATCCAATTCTCTCCACGCCCTATCCACTCCCCGAGCCGCCAAGAGGATTCCGGTTTCGCGCTATCCATTCACCAGACCACGAAGTCGTGTTGTCTCTATCGTATATTAGCGGGAGATACTACCCACACTTGTTCTCTCACCCACTCATGGCCCCTGTCATCGAGAATGCACGCAACATACCTCAGGAAGCAGGTGGCTTGTACGCGAGTAGGCATCTTTGGGCCATGCAAGGCTTGTTGCCGGGGATACATCAAGCGATGGAGTCGTCCGCGTGGAAGCCGTCTCGAAAGATGATGTTCACCGAGGCCGACGCTGAAGCTCGTGATCATTTCAAGGCACTGTGGGACCAAATCAAGTACGAGAGGCAACAAGCAATTGATGGAGTTAGAGATAGTCCTCAACGCCGCGAACAGGAAATCGAGATTATCGACGTCGATATGCTGCCCTCTGTGTAGGATATGCTACAATCTGGATCTAATTTATGACGTCCTCGGAATGCTCATCTCTACCTTGCTCGTGAGACTAATAGTGAATAAGGAGGCATATATTGTGAGTATGGCATGAACGAGTGTAGCCGGCAGACATGTCGAAAATTATGGCAAACAAATATGCTGATTAGCGCAATTACCTCCCAATATCCACCCTAACCTCTGGGCCCCATCAAGTTTGGCGGCTCTGAACATATACATGCAGATCTTGCCAACCTGAAAGCAGGATCTCGCTAAGGCAGAGCTCACATACGGTGTTATAATCAGTCAGCACGTACCTCCACCGACGCGGCACATAACCTTCCTTGTCACGCCCTTCGCACCGGGACGTGCGAGTGTAGTCAGTTTGCAATTCACCACCTTGCGCGCTAGGGGCCCTGTAAACGCATACTGAGCACGAATCTCCTCGCCCTCCTTGGGCGTGCCACGGAGCGGGGGGTCGATGCGCTCAATCAGCAGACAGTGCGCCAGGGAGTTCGCGACATGTGCAACCTCAGCATCGAGCGGGTCGCGGGGATTAATAGGCACGTATTCGTGCTCTGGTTTTCCGAATCCCTCGCGCTCCCCGCCCGAGGTGACCGCGTCCACTCGGCTAGGAGGACGCGATGATGGCCCCGGGGTGCGAGGACTTGCACTAGGCGAGTCGCGGAAACTGGAGGGCGGCATGCGATGCTGGAGCATGGGGCGCGGCGTCATGCGCATAGTGGTGATGGCGTCGGGCGTACGAGCACCGTCGGTCGCATCCCTGAACGACATGGAACTCTCAGGCCTGAATTGTGACATCGCGGAGGAGGGGCGAGACGCAGCCGAGACGTGCACACTGGGGATGGGTATCATAGAGCGACTAGGAGGACGCGCAGGGATAGAACTGATGCTAGAGCTATGCGAATGAGACAAACCCAGTCCTGGTGAAACTACGGATGAAAGAGAATCCTCTCTCTCCCAGCCTCCATCTGAAGGGGACCCAGACATAGATCTGTAGTGCGAGGTCGATGGGGCAGGGATATGACTAGGTGTCTTAGGACGTGTGCGAGGTGACATAGGGATACCATGTGCCTCTGAACGAGAGGGTGGACGGTACATTGATGATGGTGGGCCCGGAGTCTGCGCTTGTGAACGAGACGGTGGGCGATACATAGAAAATGGCGTGTTGGAAGAGTGGGCCGTAGAAACAGAAGACGTGACCGGTGACCACGGTCTTGAAGATGCCATAGAACTACGCGAAACGCTGCGATTGTACGGTGGGTATAGAGGTGGTACAGGGGGGACTTGATCAGAGCTTCGGTACAATCCCGATATCGAGGGCCGGCGGGGGGAGGACTTTACGGTCGCCGAACGGTCTTCGGACTCTACTTTTGTAGAGCTGTTCCATGCTGGTCTGTGCTTGAGTGTTGAATTCACTTCTAGTCTTTCAAGTTTCTTGGAGGAAGGGGACGATTCTGGAGTGAGACTGTGCGAATGTTTATGCGACGGCGTCATCGGAGTCTGTGGCTGACTACCCATGAAATGTAGCATCGATGCACGATGCTTCAAGGTGCGAACGGGCTCCGAGGATGGCACTCGAGCAGGGCTCTTCGGAGCTGCAGGAGTCGCGGGCGGTTTCGATGAACGAGTGAATCTTCTCGCTAATTTGCGGAAAGGTGAAATTGACCTAGACAGAGTGTTTGAACTTTGAGTTCGCTCCTTAACCTGTCGTGTGGGTGGAGTCGACAGTAATCCATTCTTTTTCTTTGATTTAGATGTCGCGCCAGACGCACTAGACCCTGCTTCACTCATATTTGAAGGGGTAGTGTCGCCACTCATGATTAATTTCCGTACCACTTCCATCTCTGTATCTGTCCTCGAGATTCGCTCCTGGAGATTCCGCCAGCGCTGGGTCGATTCAGCATGTCTACGCAAACATTCACCATTCTTTGTGACACGATCTTGAACACCTTTGTCGATGATGGACAGAACTTTCGCAGTAGCCGGCATATAGTGCCTAACAAAATGTCAGCAAAAGCCGCCGGAACGCAGGACTAGGAACATACTTCTTCTTAGCCTCAAACGAATCGAGAAGCGATGTAAACACCTCGATGTTGAGAGGCGACTTATCCGACCGGATGGAAGAAGTCGAAGACGACGGTGACAAGGAGTCATCTAATCCATGCTTGTGCATCTTCCAGATGAAATCCTACAAGTTGGTTGGAATGCAGGAGCATACATGGTCCATAAACATCTTCACTCACCTGGCATCTGTTGACCGCCTTCTCTAGACTTGACATCATTCCATCCGCTTGATCCGTCACCGTTCTGAACACGGTCAACCACTTGTCCTCCTTCAATTCCTCCCTTAAAACCTGAACGTCTTTCTGTAGTCCCTCCCACTCTGTCATCAGCGCCGCGTGCTTCCGCAGCATGATTGTATCTTCTTCAGACAAGCTCTCGTTATCAACGGGCGTTTTCTGGGAACTCTGCAGGAGGGGTTCAAGAGTCTCATTGACCGATTTGATGCCAGTTGAGGCGATGTCCATGCGTTCATCAAGGCTGGCGAGTGATTGATCAATTACACCAGTCGCATTTGAAGCCTCATTGGCTGACTGCGATTTATGCCGCAATTCTTGAATCTCTGAACGCACGTATCAGGACATCCATTAGGGTTAGTGCGGGGGAGTCCTCACCAAAAATTCGGGTCTGTAAGTCAGAGATGCTGTAAGAGAGCTCCGTCATACGCGTTGAGACTGCCAAAAGATGTAAATCTCTGGTATCATTGTCAGATAGGATGCGGGATTCAATGCAGAACTGAGCATACTCGTGGCTCTTCTCTTTGCCATTTCCATTGAATAGTGGTCGATTTAACGTGATGGTCAAGTTTTCTGCATGCAACTTGTTACATCGGAGGGAAACTCATGCAACGTGGCCTTACCATCATCGTCAAGATTGGAGGAGCTGCCGGAGGATGAAAGGCTGAAATTAGAGGGAGACGGTGATACATGGCGGAGACTACTGTGGGAACGTGACGAGTGTACACTAGAAGACCGAGACGAGTTCGAGGAGGATATACTGAGGGAAACCATGAGAAAGAGTGGGAAAGCGACAGCAGAAGAGACGGCAAGGGTATGAATCCGATATTATGGAGTGAATGCAGGTATGAGTGCTCTGGCTCAGAGGATCCGCCGAGTCTCGAGTCGCTGTCTGAGCCGATGGGTATAAGCAACACTATCGAGGGGGAGCACGACGGATCCTCTGTCGCTTGACGACCAGGTCAGGCTCAACGATGAGGAACAAGCGGCGAGCAGTTGAGGCGAAACAAAAGAGGACAAGGCGGGAGGTCAATAGAAAGATCGCGAGGTGAACTTACCCACCGTCGAACAGACGCCGAGCGTGGCACACTCCAGTCCCATCGCCGTCTCGGAGACAGCGGCTTGATAGCATACGGCAACACTTCAGTGCTACAAAGTACAACAGAAGCATATGCCTCCGACAACTATATTTTAAGCATATGATCTCACTTTGGAGAACCAGAAGGGACGCTCGTGCCTCAGAGCGAGCGGCGTCGCCTCCCCGCTCTCGATGTCTACACTATCGTAGGCTCTAAAATCCAGGCGGTTCCACCTGCCCAGAGGACGCGAGCGCAACTCCAAGTTCATCTGGAATGCATACTTCATCCTCGACCCGGACGGGTCAAGCAAGGACATGACATGCACCGTCGTTCCCAAAAGATGCCAAGTTCCGATGAAGAGACCCTAATGTTCGCTGTTTGAGCCAGCTCAGAAGATTAAGAGGACGAATTAAACGTGCCTTCATGCGCATCGTCGGTTTCAGTACGGGTATAACTTGCTGCGGTGCCATCTCCTCATTGGCAAGAAGTGATAACACTTGGCCGTTGGGGTAAAATCGTCTAAATCCAATGAGATCGTCTTCGCCGAGTTAGTCGCATTGCAACTTACAGGTACCGATGGTAAGTAACAAGGTGGCTAACCTGCATGGCCACTAAGCCAACGAATCAAGGACTAATTATGCAAAATCGGGGGCTCACATTCATCCAAGCAGTCTCACTCAGGCCAGGTCGGCTGATCGCAACCTCATGGGTGAGATAGGCAGTTTGGTTCGATAGACATTGTACGTACATGTAATGACACACTGCAATATATACACCATCAAATCGTACTCGAGGCTGCTCGATATAGAGTCGACGAAAGTCTGCCGTATAATGATGCAGCAAAGCGTCCATGTCTTCATCGTCGGGTATCTGTGGGGGCTTGTATATGGCGCGTACGAAGTTCCTACACACAAAGTGGACAGCATGAGAACGAGACAGAAATCTAATGAAACCACGAACTTCCATAGTTCCGTGTCCAATGTGACCACACGAGCCTTGCGATTGACCGTGGCGAAACGCTCCAGAGTTGCGGTATCTAGGCCTCGCAAGATGTGGACAAGCAGTTCGTCGGGCAACTTCTGCAGAAGTACGCCTTCCTTCTCGTCCTCTGGCGCAAACGTCAAGTCGGGAGGCCAGCCCGCAATAATACTTGCTAGGGTCCCGGTCACGATGGCATTCCCAATCTGCGAGACTGGCGCCAGACGGGAGTGAACATCCAGCGCCTTGATAGCTTGAGCTATCTCATCCACAACGGGGCCTGCGGACGCAGATGGACTCTTGCGGTGGCTGAAGGACGCCGATGTCGCAGCGGATCCGGACACGTCCTGCTGGGTCTCAAGCTTGTGGTATGCCCTATCGACGTTCGAGTCCATGCGGAATGCGACGCGGTAAAGTTGAAGGGCATCATCAAGCTTGCTCTGCTGCTCGCACTGCACTGCACGCCTGTACAACTCGACCGCACGACCGAGCACCTTCCCGTACGGAATGGACGTCTCGTTCCTCTGGACGAGCTCGGCTCGGTCTGGAGGGCGCGTGACGGGACGCAGCGGGACCGTGTGTGTCCGTGGAGACTGGGCATGATTGGGAGCACTGACATTAGAGACCGTCGCAGGACCAGAGGACGTAGCGGAGTCAGCCTGCGGCTCTGCAGTCAGTGGTGTGAGGCGGCTGGCAGTAGCGTCCTCGGTCTTCTTCTTGCGCACTTCAGCTTTCCATGCTTCCCTGAATCGTACGAGCTCGTCCGAGTCGGGGACTGTGTCCTGAGACGATTGCATGAACCCAAGCGGGAGGAGATATCGACCATTCCGCTCCGTCAGCAGTTAATGTTATCTGCAAAGACAGTTACGTAACGTGGCGATCGACCCCGCGCATATTACGTGCATTTCGGGGTATAGCTTAGAACAGTACTTGTAGGCTAAATAACCTGTTGGAAGTATTGGCGACGATATACAGCCTTGTGATGGTGCTCCGTGCCTGACACCAATCTCCACGTACGCTATCGTCTCTCTGCGCACCCTCTTACTCCCTGCCTGACCACGTTGCACAGACGTCCGGGGCTGGTTACCTGGCATCCACATTCGCCTAGCTTCCCATGGAGAGCAATAAGGATGAGGCAATCAAGTGCCTCTCAATCGCCCAGAGGCGCAGAGACTCAGGCGACCTCGCTGCCGCCCGCCGTTTCTGCCAAAAGTCACTCGCTCTCTTCTCGACACCAGAGGCTGAAAAGCTACTCGGACTAATCGATGCGGAGGCAGCTTCAGGCGAGCAATCGTCGTCCGCATCCTCAAGTGCCGGGTCCAGCTCGACTGGGCCATTCACATCGTCCACGGAGGCACACCCCTCTGCGTCGGGGGCGCGACAGCGACACGCAGGAACAACCTCCAGCTCCAATGGGACCGGTGCTCCAAATTCGGGTGCAGATCAGAAGAAGAGAGAATACACGCCTCAACAAGCAGCGGTGGTCAAACGAGTGCGTGCGTGTAAAGTCACGGAGTACTACGAAATCTTGGCTGTGAAGAAGGAGTGCGAGGAAGCTGAGGTCAAGAAGGCCTATCGTAAGGTACGCTCAAGCCTTTTTATTTGACTGTTGGGTTCATTGCCGTGTCAGCTGGCATTGTCGTTACACCCCGACAAGAATGGTGCTCCAGGAGCCGATGAGGCTTTTAAGAGTGAGTTTTGGACATGTCGGTGAGCTCGCCAAGATTCATGATTTACCGTGCAGTGGTTTCCAAGGCTTTTCAAGTTCTGTCAGGTAAGACACAAAAACACTTCTAGCTGTGTTCGACAGCCTATTTTCATCCATTAGATCCCCAGAAGCGGGCTGCATATGATCGTCATGGCTCAGATCCAGAGTCACGCTTCAGCGGCGCGCCATCCTCGGGTTTCGCGTCGTCTGGATTCGCAAGTAATGGCTTCGGTGGTGGTGGTGGGTTTGAGGGGGAGCTCAGCCCGGAAGATCTATTCAACATGTTCTTTGGGGGAGGAATGGGCGGAGGATCCTTCGGCGGAGGACCAGGTGGGTGGCATCTCATTCACTACAAGACCAGGACACTGAGCGTGAGCTATATTTAGTCTTCACCGCGTCATTTGGACCTGGCGGCTTCCAAAGAACACGAATGCGCACAACGAGACCTACAGGCCAAGAACAGGCGGCTGAGCCACGTTCGATGTTCATGCAGTTTTTGCCCCTCATCATTCTATTCGCCTTTTCCTTCCTCAACATTGTTCCCACTCTCTTTTCTCCCTCGCAGATACCTGATCCACGTTTTTCCTTCACACCCTCAAACCGTTACAACGTTGAACGGCAAACAGACGGACTCCATGTCAAGTATCACGTCAACGGGGCCGAGTTCTCAGGACATCGCATTGCGGCAGAACTAGCGCGCAACGGGAACAAACCGGGTCCCGAACTCAGCAGATTTGAGAAGACAGTAGAGCAGGTATTCAAAGAGGACCTCTACCGACAGTGCCAACGCGGGCTCGAGAAAAAGGAGCGGATACGGGACCAGGAAGTCGGTCTTTTTGGTCTCGGAACAGACTGGGAGAAGGTGAAGCGGATAGAGGCGGAGCCTGTGGAAAGTTGCGACAGGCTGAGGGAGATGGGACTCATCAGATGACGGACTTTGGGGGCTTGTAGAGCTTGTAATGCTAGCAGGATGGGCAAGACAGCATCTAATTCGTTCGCTATATATACTCCTGTCTTCCAGCCTATGTCATGCCTCGTCACTTCTCGCGCAAGAGTACTGCCCTGATGGTCGCACGCGGGAGAGATGATCACAACATATTCGCGAAGCGGAAGCAGTGAGATTGGATGTGATTTACGAGAGGGCATGCGCTGCGTCTATTGCTGCTGCTTGGCTCTCTCGAGCCTCAAGTAATATTCCTCCTGCTTTTGCACTAGATGACAGAGCGGTCAGAATCCACGGGACCGAGGGAGTGCAGGACGTGTCACAAGGCTCACCGTGCTTGAGATGGACACCGTACCTGTGGGAGGAATGAGCAAGGCATGACGCGCACAAGAGCGTGACAGCTCACCAGAAAGCATAGCCAGCACTGATGCCCATGCCGAGGGAAACGCTGAGGTCGAGCCAGAACCGCTTCCTGAGCTTGCCGGTGATGGGAGCGATGGGCATGGCGAGGACGAGGACGATGGGGAGGAGGACGACAACGACGTTGGATGGAGAAAGTCGGAAGGGCTGAGCAGATTGGGCGCGGTGGCCACACGAGGCAAACATGCGACAACAAGGCCTCGAGTGCCCCAGGCGTCGACGATCGAGTGACGGTGCGGGAACCGGCTTCAACTGCTCGCTGCACCGTACCACTCGCAACGCGCCACACCCCTGCCTGCACGCCCTCCACGAGTCGCTCTCCTGATCTCTCTCCCCCTCATCCCCCCCCATCTCTTGATCTCCCCCATCGCTCCCCCACCCTCTTCCCCATCACCCTCGTCACAACACCGCCATGGATCTGGACGCGTCGAGCTCAGGTGGATGGCGCTTTGCCCAGTGCTTTGGCGACAAGGGAGACGTCGAGGACATCACAGAAGGTCTGTCGCTTTCGCCCCCATCCATCTCCGCAGTCGGCTTATCCGCTCGTCTGCCCGATCCTCCAGCGGATATCATCTCTACCGTCGAGTTCGACTCGACAGGAAACTACCTCGCGACTGGAGACAAGGGTGGCCGGGTCGTTCTCTTCGAGCGCAATGAGATGGTGCGTCCCATCCCGGCCCGTGCTCCAGGTTTGATGATCTCATGTTTCGTCATTTCACTCCAGAAAAAAGGCTGCGAGTACAAGTTCTACACCGAGTTTCAATCCCATGAGCCCGAGTTCGACTATCTAAAGTCCCTCGAGATCGAAGAGAAGATCAACAAGATCAAGTGGTGCAAACGGCAGAACGCTGCGCACTTCTTGTTGTCCTCAAATGGTTGGCCTCTCAACACAGGAGCCCATCCCATATGTGCTGATCTTTTACAAACCACCTACAGATAAAACGATCAAACTATGGAAGGTCTTCGAAAAGTCTTTGCGGGTAGTATCGGAATCCAATCATTTCGATGGGCAACGACCTCTTCCTCCACCGACCTTGCCGCAAAACCTGAGATTACCACGCATGGCACAGCAAGACAACATTATTGCGGCTGTCCCGCGAAAGGTGTATTCGAACGCGCACGCGTACCACATACATTCCATATCTGTCAACTCGGATCAGGAAACATATCTGTCAGCAGACGACTTGCGGATAAATCTGTGGAATCTCAACATCAGTGACAGAAGTTTCAGTATGTGGATGACTCGAGTTTATGGGCAACGTCCGTTGCTGACGTTGAATTGCAGATATCGTCGATATCAAGCCGGTTAACATGGAAGAGTTGACCGAGGTCATTACTGCCTCTGAATTCCATCCATCACACTGTAACGTCTTCATGTATTCGAGTTCGAAGGCAAACATCAAGCTTGCAGACATGCGCGATTCGGCTCTCTGCGACCGGCATGCTAAGAGTAGGTGTCCTAGTATCCCAGTACCAGTACCGTGATTTTGACATCGAATAGGCTTCGAGGAGGAAGAAGACCCAACAAACCGTTCATTCTTCTCGGAGATCATATCATCGATCTCAGATGTCAAGTTCAGCCATGATGGCCGATATATCCTTGCCCGCGATTATTTGTCACTCAAGATTTGGGACGTCAATATGGAGTCCAAACCACTGAAGACTATCTCGATTCATGATCACTTACGCGGAAACTTGTGCGATCTGTACGAAAACGATTGCATCTTCGATAAATTCGAGTGCACGTGGAGCGGAGACGACTCGTATGTATTGATTTATCTATGTGCTAGCGTGCATTCTTTGTCCAGATCTGTGATAGTTCTGACACGGCCTTTATATTTTAGGCATGTACTAACGGGTTCTTACGGCAATTACTTCCGGATATACGACGTAGACACTATGAACGACGTAGTTTTGCAAGCTGACAAGTCGGCTTTCAAGGCTAAGAAGATGGGTGGCCCCTTGCCTGGTAACAAGATCGGAGCCAAGAACGGTGCGCGCCCTAGTGGGTTGAGGGAGAGTATGGCTCTGGCCATGGATACTGTCGATTTCAACAAGAAGATTCTGCACGCGAGCTGGCATCCTAGAGAGAGCACCATTGCGGTACGTTATCGTCCAATTTATACGAGCGCTACAATATTGAAGCAACACTATCTAGATTGCTGCAACGAACAATTTGTTCTTGTATAGTGCTGCGTGAAGCATATGCATACCACGCCGTCATGTCGTTATGAATATACACCACCCGCATCACCCCTCCCTCCGTCCCCCTACATCGCACACCCTTGTCAATCGCCGGCAGAGCCAAGACTGACGTTTCGAGACACCGATTTTACCGCATCGCAAACGGACATTTTTCTCATCGTAATCTATACTCTCCCGAGCCACCACCCCGTCGCAGTCATTTACTCCTTCCCTGCCGCCAGAGTGCGACAGGTTTATGTATTTAGCGCGCATACTAATGTCTCCCTGCACTCCTGGCTGGGCGAGCCCTACTCTACCACCTATATCCCGTGCGTCTTTGGTCTCTCGTCGGCTTGACTTGGCTCTGTTTTGCGACTGTATCCTACGTTACCGCTCATCGCTCGTTACAAGCTGGAGAAAGTAGAAGCACGAAAGAATGTACATCGAAGTAAATAAAGGTTCAGCTGATTTCACACTCATGGGTGTTGGTGTAGAGACAACGACGGCCGCCGTCCGCGTCGTGCGTGTGGTATTCACGCGCTACCGCATCACGATCTGGGACATGCTAGCTTGCCGACGTGTCTCGACTGAATATGACGCTGGTGCACGCACTTGCAAGAACTCTGAACGTAGGTTCATACGAACAGTTGTAGTTAACTGATTGCTTCGGACGACCAGCGAAGTTTTCGAATCCAGAGAGCACGTACGAGACGTCGCGTACAGCAGAGGAGATATACATCCTCTAAGTACGTGTTGTTTCGCGACAAGCAATCAATGGGTGGCTAAATTGCCCTATAAAGAACTTGGGTGAATATGCAGCAAGTAATATGACCAGTCGAGAGCAAGTCGAGAGACAGAAACTTCACGCGCGGTTCAAGTTTACGGGATTACTCAACTGCGTGTTAAACTCAGTTGTGTGTCAGAGACAAGTTCGGTATGTAGGACAGGCCTCTGATGGAGGCTTTCGAATCTCAGAAGAGGCTGGGTCGTGTGCACCCGGATGGCCTGGGATTCTGCACGATGTCGGTTCTGGATGGCTCACCTTAGGTACCTGCCAAATACGGCGAGCGCGCCAGTGGCAGCGCCACCATCGTCACTACTGCAGCTGCCAGCAGCGCTGATTGTTCTAGCTCACCGTGCGATGCGACAGAGATGGAACTTATACCTGCATCACAGCTGTGAGTGGTACTTACTTAGGGTTGTTCATCTGCTCTGCTGAAGGCATATATTCAGCAACTACCTCGGCGTTTCGTACTACCAGACTTATACAGGACGTGCGCATATCTACAAGCTCGGGGCTGCACCACTGCATACCGTCACGCGATGCGTGTCTTAATTAGCGTGCGGGAAAGCCAGTGCCGCGTAGCTGTGATGAACAACCATTCGCTCCTACCGAACACGGTTCTCTAGCTCGAATTACCATAATGTGCTATCGCTGTCATAGCTGTCTGTGTCTCTTTCACTATCGTCAATCTCGGTGTTGTCGGAATCCCTGGGCTCCAGAACAACACATCTCCAACGTGGTGGAATAAGTTCTACCACCGGTCGGTGTCTCCGCAATTTGCGCAAACCTCGTAGCTGCCTGCCGACCAGCTGGAACAGAGGTTGTACTCGTGGCGCATCTTCATCTTCGTGAAGCGCGTACTTGAAATCCCCGCCGCTCACGTTGGTACTCCACCCAAGGTGTATCCCCGCGCTGAAGGAGTTCAGATTTGTCTTTGCGTCCAAATTGACCTCGATGTTATGTTCCTGAGACGGAGCAAGAAGCCGCGCATACGAACGACATTCGTACGCCTCCGATACGATCACGTACTTCTCTGGGAAGGCTGTCGAGTAAATGAGGTCTCTGAGCAGGCCGCGATTGGTGATCTGGATATGGCGCGGTCTCAACATCACCAGGATGGCGACATAGCCCTTCTTGACCTTGAAGTTCGTCTTTATTGTTCCTCCGCCAAATGGAGTGGCGTCGCTGGTCATTTGCCAAGGTTAGCAATCGAAGAGGCTGTAATATTGCAATGCGACTTACATGCCGGCATTGCCGCCTACTTTTGCTTCATTTATTTCCATTGCTACGATGCGCCGTTCCTGGTCCTCGCAAACATCAGACGTTGTGATGCCAAATCTAGCCGCTAGTCCTTTGTCAAAGATGTTTCCTTCCGGAGAAAACGAGTTGTCCCTTTGGAGGCGGCCATAGTCTCCAACCTGTCAAATCCTCAATGAGCGATGCTGTACACGAATCCCCATCGCTATGCTTACCCTGACAGGTCTTAGGGGCTCCCAGCTGGCGTAGAGATTGCTCTTGCTGTGCATTAGAGAAACATACTTGTGCTCCGGATTGAACATGGCGGCCCGCGCAGCGGAGATGGGTGTGGTATGCGGCAGTAGCTGAAGGCGGAGAGCATATCGAACGGATTATATGTTGGTATGAGATCTGCACGCCGTCAGGCCTTGCAGGTGCTCTACCTGCGCGCGATGACACGAACCTTTCAGCAGCACATCATGCCTAGGACGCGAGGGTTGCGCGCAGACAAGGTGGTAGCAGCTTTGGCCCTGTGTAGGTACACGCATAGTATCAATGCACGCTGAATGCTCACTGATACCCTCGCAGGAACCTGTAGAACGGCTCAAGTGACCATGCCGTGCGTGGACAATGCGTCCAGATGCCCGCTTTGAACCACACATCACCCCTCGCCGCACCTTTCTGTGACTCTATGACATCGTCACGATGGAAGCGCATGTGCATCATTGTGTCTTTGAATCATCTTGCAAGCTGCGAACATCTTACAGAGTTGATTGGCTCATGGTCCTTTTATAAATTGTTGTGCCCGAAAATAGTTGCATTCTGAACCTGCTAGATATGCATCATCGGTATGTCTTCCTGCCGTTTCCACATACTTTGGCGTGTGTAGATTGTAATTGCGGCATTGATTTGTGGCGGCTCGCGTGGTCACTACACTGCCCGACATTGATGTGCATGTGTTTGGAGATTCACGGATTGAAGGTTGAAATGGTAAGTCTCAGGCTAGTTCCGTGAGCTGGTTTCTTCGAGTTAGCGTCTTGCCTAACCGAACATTTGAGACTAAGACAGACCATCACGCAAATACATATCGCTATCATCTGTGCGTCCTGTCACGGTCTATCGGTTTGACTCACACGAACAGTAACTTCTCATCTCATGACTGATTAGCATGATAGAATCCTTCTTCGGCCTGCAGGTCGTCTAGAACTTTGTCGCATCTGACGTAGACGCCCTCGATAAGCGAACGCCCGGATAACGAGCTCCTTTGGAGTACACGGAGGGTTTGAGTGGTCAGGGATGACACGGCTTTTGATAAGCACATGCTCCCTTGCGTTGCACCGGTCGTCTCCTCACCTCTTCAGATAATCCGCTAGCCAGAACTCTAGGGCCTCATGAACGTCGTTGAAGAAAAGATAGAGCCGTGAGTAGCGCCTGGAACTATTTGTACAAAGATGTTGTCACAAGCAACTTTCTATTTCCAGGCAATGGACGGAAGATGCTGATGCGGTTGAACTCGCGCGGTTGGGATACAAGCAAGAGTTGAAGCGTGCATTTTCCCCACTTGAAGTGTTCGGACTGGTGTTCAGTATATTTGGATTGTTCCCTTCAATCGCGTGAGTCCTTTGATCAGGCTAGCACGATTGAATTAAACACATCACACATGATAGATCCGTTCTCGTGTATGCGTTGCCTAATGGAGGACCTGTGGCTTTGGTTTGGGGGGTCAGCGTAGTCGCATTCTCTCCACGAGAAATCCTGTACTTACCACTGGTTCCTTGCAGTGGGCTGTCTGTAGCTTCTTCCTGTTCTTGATCACCCTTGCTCTTGCGGAGCTTGGATCGGCCGCACCTACTTCTGGAGGTTTGTACTACTGGTCGTTCAAGTTTGGTTCACCTAGATGGAGAAGACTTCTGTCATGGATTGTGGGATGTACGTGGTCAGTCGTCAACCGGTGGAATTGAGCTGTAATATTCGACAGATTCGAACACGATCGGCCTAATTGCTGGGGTTGCTTCAGTCGATTGGGGGTGTGCAGTGCAGCTCATGGTGTGTGGCGTTATATGGATTGTTACAATGTCAGTGATTAATCCCTCATCCAGGCTGCTGTCAGCATTGGATCCAATCAGACGTTCTCACCGACTACTGCGCAAACATTGTGAGTACTTGTGTATCCGCCATAAATGCATTCGATGTGAATCCTGCACTGATCAGTGTGATTGCTGGTGAAATTGTGGTTCGAGGATGTACACCTTTCGCTGACATAGCTTTCGACCACTAGCGGCGTGTATACTCTGATTCTAATCTTGCACGCGACGATATCTTCTCTGGCAACGCCTATCGTAGCACGTCTCCAGACGGTGTATGTCGTACTGAATGTCCTGTGAGTTACACGTCACTCTGGTGCAAGCTATGACTGACCCAGTGGTCAGCCTTTGTCTGGGAATCATCATTGCCCTACCTGCTTCCACTCCGGAAGAGTATCGGAACCCGGCAAGCTACGCATTCGGAGGCTTTGTGAATTGTGAGTGGACCTATCAAATCTACCGACCCGAGGAGAATCATTGATGCCGACTCAAGTTAGCGGCTGGCCTGACGGCTTTGCTTTTATATTAAGCTTTTTAGCACCCTTGTGGACCATCTGTATAGTAATCTCAAAGCCGTCACGTGTGTATATATGGCTAATACGACTGGATTTCTATTCCAGCCGGATTTGACTCCTCGCTCCATATCAGCGAAGAAGCTTCCAATGCTAGCGTGGCGGTCCCATGGGCATTGATTGGGGCAACTAGCGTGGCCTGTGTCTTAGGGTGGGGTGCGGACGACAGAGCTGTCGGTCATACAGTCATCATACTAACTACAAACTGCAGCGATCAATGTTGCGATTGCATTCCGCATGGGGACTGACATAGAGAGCATCATGAATAGTTCTATTGATCAACCCATGGCTGTTGTAAGTGTTGTTTTCTTGTCCTCTCGTAGTACTACAAGATCGGGTGCATTTTCCCCGGAGAAATGCTGAGGAACGGAGTCAACCATTCCGTTCTTCCTTTGAGTTGCAGGCAGCTGATCAGATGTTGTATCGGCCCATCCCAGATTTTATTCAATAGCTTCGGACAGCGAGGAACGCTTGCGGTATGGTCGATCGTTGTTGCGGTTCAGTGAGTATAGATCGTCATCGAACCCGTGCCCAAGTCGTCGCTGAATTATCGCAACAACCAGGTTCTTCATGGGAACAAGTTCGGTATGTGTGACCACTTACACACGTGCTCTTTCAAACATTTGACATATTCCGATGGTATGATCACCCAGCTGCTGGCTAGCTCTCGTCAAACGTTCGCATTCGCACGAGACGGCGGCCTTCCATTTTCCAATCTGCTATATCGCATCAATCCTCGCACGCAGACGCCCATTAATTGCGCCTGGTTTGCTGCTTTCATTGCGTTCCTACTCGGGCTCCTCGCGTTTGCAGGCTCGAGTGCCATCTCGGCAATATTCAGTCTTGGCGTTGTTGGCCTATATATTGCCTACATCATCCCTATTTTGAGCAGATTTGCGGGCGGAACCGAATGGTCGCCGGGTCCGTTTTCACTGGGTGCGTGGGTAAGTCATCTTGCTTTTTTCGGTTGACCTGCACTCTCACCCCACACTGTTTTTATGCTGTCAGGGCCTCCCTATAGCGCTTACGGCTGTGGCCTGGATGATCTTCTCCATCGTTATCCTGGTATTCCCTCCCTCACCAGGTCCCAACGCCCCCGACATGAACTACACGATAGTGGTATTAGGAGGATGGATTTTGTTATGCTTGGCATACTACTATTTTCCCGTGTATGGTGGAGTCTACTGGTTCCGCGGCCCGGTGGCGAATATCGGTAAAATGGAGGCAGTAGAGGCCGCCGGAATGAGTAGCAGTGTCGAGGATGAGAAGCCTTATATGGCCGACTGAAGGTTTGATTAACTATTTCTTCCGAGCAGAGTATCATGAGAACTTGTGTAATTTTCCCTCGGAGACGTTATCTGATATGATGTGCTGTCACATATCGTGGGCCCGCCTGGGAACAAGCTGGGAACGGTCATCTTCGTCGAAGGCCGGTCGGTATGTGAAACGCTCAAGTCGGACTCACGGAACCCATTACCAGATGGAATTATCGCAAGTTCTGAACTACTTATTGGCCTTTTGGCGATTGGCGCGCAAACTTTGCACTCACGCATCTCCGGCTGCGGCTACACGTATGTGAATATTCTCCCTTACCACCCCGAAACGACCACTGAATTGTATCAGCCCTCATTTCACCATCCCGCTGCCAAGCTGTTGAATCTCTAGCCCATGTCAAGCATTCCGATGCGACCCTGCTATGATATAAGGAGGGCAGTGTGATGCACAGGTGAAGGGTGTTTCTGGATCGCCCACTTGCGCAGTTCAGCATCTTCACGGGCCACAGATCGGATACTATTATTCCCCGCACGTACTCACGCCAGCAGGAGAAGTATAGAAGGACACCTGAGTACGTGGCGACCATTGCTGTTCCAGTCCTCCGAAGCCTCATACCGCATCAGGGCAGATCTCATCGCGGAAAAACAGCATTTTGCTGTGGGTGCGATCAGTGGTAACCGTTCACACATAAATACCCGGGCTTCACGTTTCAGTACAGCTCCACCTTATTGCGCCTGCACCACTCCTCAGCTATGGCATTGCTCTCTCTCAACCATGATGTTCTGTGCGAGATCTTGGACCAAACTGACCCTCAGTCGGCGCTGAGGCTCTCGATGGTGTCTCGCAAGGCCCACCACCTCGGCGTTCCTCAAGCCCTCTCTAGAGTCACCCTCAGTCGCTCCCAGCAGCAAGTGAGCGCCTTCTGCCATTTCGTTCTCTCCGACCCACAGCGCCGCCTTCCATACCTCCGCGAGTTGGTCATCGAGTCTGGCGCTTTCGGCGTCACCCACCGCATAGAATTCCAGCGAGCCGCCGACTTTTCCGCTACCGAAGAGCTCGCCACATTGCTCGAACAGGCGCATCGTCTGCGGCACCTGTCAATAGCGTGCTTCGAGGACCTTATTGTGAAAGAACCGCGCATTGCCGCTGCCGTATGTGCACTTCCAGGCCTTGTGGACGTAGGCCTGCACAACTGCGGGCATCTCTCGACGGCTCTTCTGCCCCGGCTACGAAGCCGCCCCCGAAAACTTGCGTTCACGGCGCTATTCAACCGAAAACTACCCTCGTTTTTCCACCGCCTCATTGCCTTGGATCGGCTGGAAAGCTTGGAAATATCGTACCTGGATCTGTCAGATGGCAGCCAGCCACACGCGGAGATCCACGAGATCCCGCACATGCCATCATTGCGGTCCCTTGCGGTGCGTGGCAGCACCGCGCGTATGTCGCTCTTTGTGCGGTCGATGCCCAACCTGCAGACGCTCCGTATCGCCGACGTCTGCTCATCGGTCGACGAGTCCTCGGACCACTACAAGGGCGGGAGCTGGCCGAGCCTGGCTCATCTCCAAGGAAACGTGCCCGATTTCCGGCATTGGAAAGTCGCTTGTCCGGTGCGATGGTTGCAGCTCGACCTGACGGCTTATCATTACGACGACGCACTCGACATTATCCGCCGCAACTCGCCTTTAGTCTTGTCCCTTCCTGTGGAAACCAAAGTCGGTGCGACGTTTTGGGGGTCCTTCATAAGCGCAGCACCTAGGCTGCGTCACCTCGAGGTGTGTCTAGACGAGGGGAAGTCGAAACAGCTTGAGACCTGGATGGTGCGTGCCACTCGGTCGTCGGCCTCGTCTCGATGCCATTGCTAACCCGCGAAACACTAGAACGTTGTCCCCCGAATCATTGGATCATTACGGATCAGCTCAGTTTTTCTTTGTGTCCGATACACACACTGGATCGGGTCGCGGATGGATCAAGGTATCGCCGCTGCCGAGAACGAGTCGACCCTGCGGACGCTGCGGGAACGGACGATGGAAGCAATCCCGACATTGCGCTATATCACGACTGCAGTGGCGTTTAAGGGCGAAAACCCATTTGAAGGGCATCAAGCGCTCTCCTGGTGGCAAGTGACGAGTGTTTCTGGGACGCGTAGACTGGAGGTTGTGGGCGCGGATAGAGGGGAGGGGCTACGAGATGACTTCCTCCACGCACATTATGATGCACAGGCATGAGCGCACGAATTGCTGGCCGGAGATGCAATATAGACTTCCGGAGGATAGGAATCCTCCGGACCATCATCACTCGGACCTCTTGGAGCCTAAGCCGCCCGACGCCGATGGAGATGAATCTTGAAGGGCCTCGGGAGGCAACTGGCGGTACACGCCCTATTACACACGAACACCTTGTGGATGCGCCGAAGTCGTCGCGAGCGGGTCGATAGACGACTCGAACTCAGCCTAGGACAGCTCCAAGCCTCCGATGTGATAGCCCGGTTGTACTGTAACAGCTGACTCCGATCATACACGTATATTCTGCACCAGTGAAGACTTGGACAAACTGGGCATTTTTGATTGCTCGGCAGCATGTTGTCACGAAAGCGAGGCTGCTTGAAACGCTTCGTGTGATGCAAATGTTATCAACGGGAACATACGGCCGTAAGTAAGTATGGTGCCAAGACGATGCTGGCTCCAACGGAGGTATTTTCTCCTGTATCTAGACGCACGAAGCAAATAAAGCTAGACCAAGCAAGCTGATGAGCAAAGGCCCTGAGCGCGAGCATCCATCTGGAATAGCACAAGGACATGCATCGAGACCATTCTGAGCGAGAATATAGGTTTCTGCACAATGCACGTTTGATATCTTCTCCTACTAAGTATCAAGCCCATTTTCTGAGAAACGCTAAATCAACCATCCGCCGGGAGCAGATCGGCCGCTATAGCGTTTGTAACGTGCAAAACTGTCTTCAATTAGAACCAGATCGCGGTCGTTGCCAAAATTTACTTGTCTGGCCCCTACTTATACTTAGCAGCCGACATTGGCTGTGCTAAATTTTGCGAGCCGTCGCTGGCTTGGAGGCTCGGACTCGGATGTTGCAATAATCATGATGAGCTGACAGATCAGTTTACTTCACTTTCCCGGCGTGCGCTGCTGGCACTGTACGAGCGCTTAACATTGTTACCGCCTCACCTTGACAGAGCCCGCGCGAAGAAATATCTTATTCACTGAATTGCTTACCGTGGGGTCCTACATCTGACATCGTCGTCCAATTTCCCCAGAATCTATCTCACTTTGCCTCTAGTCTGCCCAAGTATTTTTTGAGGTCGCGCTTAGAACGAGACATACTCGCCGACATGGAGTCGGCCCAGTTTGCATTTCAATGTGTTCTGATACCCCAAAGGCTCTTGACGGAAGCGGAAACGCGGAGAACATGGACTTCGAAGTATCTCAATCAGTAGTAGGTTTCGTTACGACATGCCGCATGGTACTTTACAACAAGGGATCTGTCAACGGTTCTATCCATCTGATTGCTAATGGAGCATCTAAACTGCCTCGTCAACATATTGTGCCGCATCTACCCTTCTCTCCCTCTGTGTCTTCTCTGAGGAATATACTAGCTGCAGCACCGCGCACGTAACAGGTACGTGTGCATATATTTCATCAAGAATTCCTACCCTTTCTGTGATTATCATTACAGGATATACACATCCATCGATGCCTACTCAAGGATCCAATTGCAAAAGCTTGCATATGTAATTGTCCAGCGGCATGCAGGAGTCAGGGCAGGTAGATGTGAATTTTTATTTTATATGGATTCATACGCACATCGCTCCTCGTTCCGACCCCATTTTATTTCGAGTCTTCATCTGCAGAAAACCGCAGCATGTTCTACAGATTCACTATACAATAAGAGGCTGCGGCAATTGCCACCTCGGTGACGTCGCGGAGAAACGACTAGGCTTAATGCTGAGACATTATCCCTGATACACCGGACTGGTACCTCCATGACTGTCGGGGAATCGAACCGGCCGAAATGCAGCACATCTTTCGTCGTCATCTGGTCGACGCTAAGCGAATAGGGTACTCTACCTAAGATTTTGGATACCTTTGCCAAACCCGACGCAAGCGGGAGGTTGTGCAATCGTCGATGTCAGTGGATCAGTCGAAAATTATCCAACGCGTTCCGGCTCATAAGTTACCTAGTCTCACTGTTCTAAGCAACTTTGACAAGATCTCCTCGAGCTGGTCTTCCGATCTCGTCAGGCCGACTAGTACGTGTTCTATCGTCAGATGTTTGTAGAAATGAGGATGATTGGAGGATATGAAGGTTCAGGGAGCCAGCTTGATGGTCGAAAGAAATATAGTCAGCAGCCGCCTTCCTCCGATCATGATACCCCGGTTTGATTTGACCGATTAGTACACACTTGCGTGGAGCTTACCTCCTTGCTGCCCTATGATATGGACGGTGTGTCTGGATAGACAATATACTTGAATGATGGGTGGTGGTCCCGTGGCCATAGCTGAGGGGTAAGAACGAATGGCACAGTGTCTTGTGACGAGCTAGTCTTAATGCTAGCTGCACAGTATGTCTCATTTTGAATCGCGTCTCATGAGGGCTCGAGAGCATGACATTGGAGCGGGAATAATAATGTTACAAGAAGAAGGTACTTCTCGTTGTCTCCAGTTCCGGCTAATGCGCAGTAAAGTCAACAGACAATGTCTTGCCACATGGCGCACGCAACGTACCTTCCAGACCCATTGATATTCGTCCTCCGTCGGAGGCAGCACCTTCTTGGGTACCTGAGCCTCCTTTTCCACCCCTTCTTCCTCGTCATCTTGATCTGGCTCCTGTTTTTCCTGGCCTTCCTCGCCCATCTTGACATCCTCACCATCACCATCCTCGAAGGTATCAAACTCTAACGGTTTAGAGGGTTCACCCAGGTTTTTCACAGCCGGTAGACCTTTTCTCAATGATCGTAGCTTCAAGGTGAACCGAGGTCCGATCTCTTGTAAAGACACCTTTTCCGTGGAACGGAAAGCATATCTTTACAAGCCAAGTTGGGGACGATCAGAGAGGTAAAGACAGGAGGAACACTAGAAGAGTCCTTACCGATGTCTCCTGAAGAACAAAAAGTCACGCTGGTTGTGCAATGTGACGACCTGGCGACCTTGAAATTCGGGCATAGGCGGGAAGAGTGTCTGGAAGAGACGTCCGACGGTATGCCCGAGGCGGGTAACGAAACCGTTTAGAACAAGTTCTGGAAAGTGTTCTGTGGGTCGTGCATGACCCTAATGACTCACGTTCGTGTTTTAGCCAGGATACAGTGTTGGATAGATAGACAGTGCTTACATGTATCTGTTTTGAAAATTCAACGGACGTTAGTTTGAAGTAGGCGGTTGGACCCTCCGGGAGGTACACGATCGTGATCGCGTCTATATGCGACCATTAGCAGTTGCAAAAATGCAGGCAGTCATCCAGGACTCACTTAGCTTCTTCATATCCTCATTCACGACCATTAAATGGCTGTAATCTCGTCCCGCGGCCCAGCCTGCGATCCGACCCATCTCGAAGCCTTTTCCCTTCTTCCTTCGAATGAACTCCGCGCCAGGGAAGACATTCACTAGCTCATCGCAGAAATTGTACGTCGTCCGCGTCGCCTTTGGAGACGTCGTGATCAACACTTTTGGCGGGACACTGGGGTCACCGGTGCCGGAAAAATACGATGAAAAGGGATCATTAGCTATATCCGCAGCAGATTCGTCCTGCGGCTGGTGATCTGGGGAATGTGCATGCCCATGTTCGGCTGGCGTAGAAGAGGTGGATGCTTCGGGTTGCGCAGCGGGGTTCGCGGTGAGGATCGAGGGATCGAACTGTCGAGTGTTGTCCAGTGTACGGGGTACATTTTGTTCGCGTCGTTTCTAAATGATTTGAGCGTCGTTCAAATTGCAGACACCAGCACGACGTGCCCGGCGTACCTTCTTCGCAAGAGGGTCGTTGGCTTCCGCCTTCGCCTGCGCAAGTCGGCGCTCAAGCTTGTTTTGTCTCTTTTGTTTCTTTTGCTTCCGCGAAATCTCCTCTCGCTTTACTTTGTTCTTGATTGACGACGGCTCGAAACGACTGGAAGGCATTGCGACCAGGAAGTGAAGGCAAAAGGCCCTTGCGAGCGGAGGCGCTTGTCCTCTTGGGAAATCTGAGAACGAGATCCAGGGTTCTCACGGCTACTGCCTCTTCCTCGTCACGACCAGCAACGACGACAACACGCATACGCTCCTTACATGGCTCCCACCGCCCGCTCTCGACTGCTGTCTGCTTGTTTTCTGCTCTGTCTCGTCGCATCGACGAATGCTCTCCATTTCTATCTCGACACTAATGAGAAGCGATGTTTCGTGGAGGAACTCCCGACCGACACGGTTGTGGAAGGTGTGCACCATCTGTATCATGCTTATTCGTGTCGGGTAGAACTGAAACGCATAATTTTGTGTGTTCCAGGCCACTACAGAGCCCTCGAGTGGTCTGAGAAGACACAGACATATGTCGAAAATCCGGACTTGGGCATCCTCGTCGAGGTCGACGTGAGTTCTCATTGTCACATAGACCTTGCGCGCTATTTCTGACTTGTTCTCTCTCCCTGTGCATTTACCCCAACCAGGAGCTCGAGTCGAGCCACAATGTCGTGAAGACACGCGGTCCACCCGACGGCCGCTTCACCTTCACTTCGCACGATCCGGGCGACCATGCGATCTGCCTCTCCGCGTCCTACCCATCCGGAGGCTCATCATGGTTTGGGAGCTCCCATATCCGGTTATACCTTGACATTGTCATAGGCGCAACGAAGCCAGACGTCGAGCATGACCGCACGCACGTCTCGGAGCTTTCTGCGAAGCTGCGCGATCTGAACCAGAAGCTGGAAGATGTCCGACGCGAGCAGCAATACCAACGAGAGCGCGAGGCGAACTTCCGTGACCTGAGCGAGGCGACGAATACACGGGCGGTGTGGTACAGTCTGGCGCAGATCGTGGTGCTTGTGTTGACGTGTGCGTGGCAGTTGAGGCATCTGAGAGTGGGTTGATCCGCCTTGCGCATGTTCAAATGAGATTCTGATCTGCTTATCTAAATCTGCAGCGGTTCTTCGAGGACAGGAAAATGCATTAGCTTGTATATTGTTTTGGCGGTATATATGGTTTCCATCAGTGTCGTGGATTGCGGTTGAAAGGGACTTCGATCCCGTGTGTGCCTGTCGCGTTGTCCTAACTTGACTGGAGGTATGCGCTAATGTCACTCGGGGTATCTATAACCGCTGCCAGTCAAAGTTATTCATTTTTGATAGGTCGCACTGGACAAGTACATCACCAGTTGTCAAGCCTGCAGGGATGGAGAGCCGACAGCGACCGCAGCTGACTTGCGGAACGCCAACGGGTTGAGACGAAGGTTTAGATCCTCGGGCCACATAAGTATCGGCTTCCGCTTGATTGAATGATCTATTCACTTTAGGTTCGACTACCGGTCTATCGGGGGTCGAAAGATGTCCACATATCAGGACTGCTTAGACTGTTGATTGAGTTATGGCCGCCGTAATCCTGGGCTCGGTTGAACCGCCCCTCACTTCTGGGAATCAGTAAGTCGTCGAGCTTCTGCACCGGTGAGCCGTTGCTCCGCCCTTCGGAGATTAGGGAACAGCTTCCATTCTGTCGGAGGACTCGGTGGGCCGCATGCAGAAGAAGAGCAATTGCGGAGTGCCAAGAAGGTCATTAAGGTCGTTTATGCGCGCAACGCTCTCTTTCCAGTGTGCTTGGTGTAATCCTCCCAAATGTAGCTTCCGACGAGATGCATTTTGTGTGACAAGTTCATGGCTATAGTGAAGTCACACATGCTGTGGACTACATCCGAGCTGATGTTGAAGGACCCAATGCAGACTGTGGCTTCCTCTGGGCTTGTGTTATGTTAGATATAATTCCTAGTCTCTTGACACCACTAGGAACATAAGAATGTATCCTGTTGATCATTAGTTTACTGAAGTGGTTTGTGACTTAGCAGGTTTACAGTTGATTTGTACAAGTAATGGCTCCTTAATCCCCCTGTTGGATTGACCAAACCATTTTTACCTGTTGGGTGCATCTTAATTGAGACATTGCAGCAACACTTGATAGGTGCAGGTTTTAATCTTGGGCACATCTATGGTATTTGAGTATGAGTGATTGTATATTTGGAATTGAGGCTGGGTGGAGGTGTACTGCTACTGTATCTTTTAATGAACAATACATCAGTCAATCAAAATACTGTTATCATTGTAGCAGCTTTGTGAATCAGTGTCATCTGCTTTTTTGATCTTTGTGCAATTGTCTGATATCTTGCATGCTTTGCTATTCTGGTGAGTACTCATTCATGATTCTTCTGCTATTTAGTATATGTAATCAAGCTTATTTTCTGGGATCATAGACAAGTACTTAATCCCACATCTAAAATAGCACAAATTCTGACATTTGAACTTTGAAATATTTAGACAGCAGAATTACAGCTGATAGTCCAAGGCTCAACATAAGATCTGTAATTGCCTTCACACTCGTGTATAGACACTTCAGCTTCCATTGGTGTTCACATGATTACAAGTGCACTTTCGAGCTTCATCTTAGGGGGTCCTCAACTTGGAGAATTACCTTCTTCCCAAGTATTCCATCGGTAATCTCTCTCAAGATGCTCCTTACTTTGTCTCCCGCCTCCTCATCACTTAGCCGTCCCTCTATGGTCACAATCTTATGGTCTGGCTCTTGAAGCTACGCACACATGATCGTTTTCTATGAGCACCAAGCGAAGGATCAATCTCATGCAACAGCGCGACGCACCTGCATCTCGATAATTTCCGCGAGCACTCGCTCGCGTTCTTCGCGTGGGTGCGTCGCGAACCAGCGGCTCATCCAAAAACCCTCAGCACGGAGCCCTCGGAAGATCATCTGTCCTGTCGGTACACTCAGCGGCTGCTTCGACATGGCACCGTACGATACTAGGCGGGCATCCATGCCCAGTAGTCGCGTCATTTGAGCAGTTGATGGGCCAGATACACAATTTAGGAGGAGGCGCGGCGGCTATATTCGTTGCGGAAGCAACTATCAATGATCGGCAGTCCAAAACGGAATCCATGGCTGGTTGGTTAGGCCACGAATAACACACCTTGGACCCTGTGAGCTCCTTCACCATTTTAATAAACGCGCGGTCCTGGAGATCATCATATGTGAAGACGTGTGAGGCCCCGAGCGCGATAAGCTGTTCTCTCAGTACGTCAAGTGTCGGTCTAGATGTGTCACGAGTCGACGTCAGTCATGGTTGTAACACGAAGACCATACACACCTGTTACGAACAAAATTGATTGTCTTGAGCTTCTCGCGAGCCGCAATCTGGATCACTGCCTGGCCAACCTGCGCAAAGCGTATGTGAGCTCAGGCTGTTGCTGCCATTGATCAATGACTGACAGCACTATTCGCGCCTAAGGTGGGGAATCAAAATTGAACGCGTAAACGTATCCAGTCGGATAGTGGAGAAGCAAACGCACCATTCTGGACTACCCAGTCACCTTCTTGAAGGTCAATGAAATCGCGCAGCAAACAGTAAGCAGTCGGTGGATTAACCTGCACATGAAATTTCAGCCGCCTATGTACGTCGTGACGAGACAAAGCAGAACCCACCGTGAGCATGGAAGCGCTAGGCTCACTTATGGCCCTCTTGTCAATCCGAACGACTTCCTCCGCCTTGAGAAGCCTCGCAGAAGACCATGTCCCGGCTTGAGGCTTGGCCATGACGACCCAGTCACCTTCGTTCAAGCCTTCCACACACTCTCCTACCTTTGTCACTTCTGCGAGACCCTCATTTCCCGGAACAAATACAGGTTCCGGGAGACTGAGTATCGAATCTCCGTGGCCAAGGGTGCGTGTGGGGACGGGCTTGGACGGGTACACACCTTCAATGACATTGATGTCGGATGGGTTTATGGGTGCAGCTCGTATGCGGACGTTGATATGCCCGGCAGGTGGAGGCGGGAGTGAGGGGTAGGAAAGGGCATAGACGACGGACGAGGGTGCGCCAGATTGCGTAAAGACGATGGCGCGGTGGGTAGCGCGAGGGATCGAAGTGGAGAACTGAGCCGTGCGAAGGAAAGAGAAAGAAATATTGGAGGATGTAAATCGAACGCGGACGGCTGCTGCAGGGTGAGGGTTTCGTTTTAGAGATAGCATACGTGGAAAGGCAGTCGTCGTAGTCATCGTGAGGGCAGGTGTGACCCTAACCCTAGACAATGGCTGGGAGACTTATCGTCGGGGTTAATCTCCGTGGGACCGTGTTGAAATTCGCCGAGATGGATTGGTTTTCCAAACCCATCTGGTTGTTGTTAAGCTTTGCTACAGTGTAGGCTACTTACTCTTTCCAACTCATGTAAGGATATTAACAAGACATTAGCAAAAGCACTTATCACGATAATCAATCATGGGAAGATCTGAAACAGATTACTAACACGTGACGCATGCACTACGAATGAGCACTCTCGATTTTTTCTTTTCTTTTCTCCTCTTCCTCTTCACTCGATCTTGTTGTAGGCCGAGCGAAGAGGAAGAGCCCTTTCCTTATCCAAATCAAGTACAAAATGGCTCTTTCCAATCCACCTACCAAAACGGACATCGTCCGGCCCACCCTCGCTCGGTCTGCTAGTAATTATCCCAATGGCCTACCTGCGCCATCCATCATGTCCTCGCACGACAATCAACCTGTCTCTGAGGCTGTCTTGGAGCTAGCTGATGGCTCAGCCTTTTGCGGAATCAGCTTTGGCGCAGAGGGCAAAAGCATCGCAGGCGAATGCGTGTTTCAGACCGGTGGGTTTCCGAACGTCTAGCAAGTATCTTCTTTGCCTAACGATGCTCCAGGTATGGTCGGGTATACCGAATCTCTGACAGACCCCTCGTACGAAGGCCAAATTTTGATCTTGACATATCCTCTCATTGGAAACTACGGCGTCCCTTCTCGTCACGACTCATCGTTCGAGGACCTCCCAGCTGACTTTGAGTCCTCGCGTATACACGTAGCCGCCGTCGTCGTTGGGTCTTACTCTGAGGCCTTCAGCCATTTCCTCGCAGGTTCCTCTCTCGGGACATGGCTCAAAGAGAGCGGGGTGCCTGCTATATACGGCGTCGATACCCGTGCACTCACCAAAAAAATCCGCGAGAAGGGCTCCATGCTCGGAAAAATCCTCGCGCG